TATATATATACCCAGCCTATGACACAGTCCAACAAAAAATTGTTGTTAAATGACGTCCTGTCAGTCTTTTCACATATCAGTTTAGTAAAAGTAAGAAAAATACACAGATAAGAACATATATTTTTAAAATCAAAGGCCTTAAAAACAAAAGTAGAGACTATATAACATGTATGTTATGAAGAAATAAAGAAGCAATATCTAGAATGGCTCAAGAACTAATAATAACTGATGAAGGCCAGACAATCCAATAGAAAACAGATTAAGAACAGCAGCAGGATCTTTAATATTTGCTGAATAGATAAATAGTAACAGATGAACAGAAAAAAAAAAAGATTGAAAATCATATTGATCTTCAAAAGAACAAATGATTGTAATATATAAACACAACAGAAAAGCATGAAGCCATGGAAAGAATTGAGTAGAACTACTGCTGATAGACCCAGTGGGAAGCCAATTCCACACTGTAGTTATTTCCCCAGTTTCTGAACAGATATACTCAGTTGTTGTTGCTGTGAAGTGCCGTCTAGTCAGTTCTGACCTATAGCGACCCTTATAGAGTTTCTGAGGAACAGCTGGTAAGCTTGAACCACCAACCTTGCAGTTCAAACAGCTTTAGAGTCTGGCGCATTAACCCACAGCGCCACACCAGGACTCCTCAGTAAACTCTTAAAAGAAAGAAGATACAATTGGAAGTCCCTGTGGGCTCCTGAACTAATAAGGGAGTCAACCATAGGCACCGCGCCTGTTCCTGGGGGAAGGCAAAGAAATACCAGCACAAAGACATGAAAGTCTCTCATTTCAAGGTGATGCCTTATACCTTCACATTTCACTGTTCTGTCTGGAGGATGCAGAGGGCAATGACCATAGTGACTTGTAGAAGCTACTTGATATGCCCATATAAACCAGACAGCCATATTTTTATATTACAAATAGTATCTTGAAGAAAAACTCACCTAATAGATGGGGGTGGGTGGTGGGTGTAAGTGCTATTGAGTCAGTTCTGACTCCACAACCCTGTATTGGGTTTCCAAGGAGCAGCTGGTGGGTCTGAACCACCAACCTTGAAGTTAGCAGTACAGTGCTGATCCGACACCACCACACCAGGACTCCTAATATATGACTTTTGTTGTTGTTAAGTGCCGTCAAATAGGTTCCAACTCATAGGGTTTCCAAGGAGCAGATGGTACGTTTGAATCACCAACTTGATGGTTAGCATTCCAGGGCTTATCCTACAGTGCCACACCAGGACTAATACATGGAGAAAATTAAATATATGGTGGTGGTAGTTGGTAGTTGTATGTTCTGATTCATAGTGACCCTGTATGTGGTTTCCGAGGCTGTAAATATCTTTACGGGAGTAGAAAACCTCATCTTTCTACTGAAGAGCAACTGGAATATCTGAACTACTGACTTTACAGTTAGCAGCCTAGTTCATAACGCACTGGATTCAGTTAAACTTTACCTCTATAAAAACATAATGAATAGATTTTTTTAAACATTATCTACAATTTAGAACTGCTGACACCATCACTCGCTTCAAGAATGATGACACCACTTTTTTAAACATTATCTACAATTTAGAACTGCTGACACCATCACACTTTAAAATGGGAGAGTATATTACATTCTTCATAATGAAGAAAAACACTATTTTCTATACATTCAAAAAGGGAGTTCTAGGGTGGCGCTGTGGAATAAAACACTGAAGTGCTAACTGTAAGGTTGGTGGTTCATATTCACCAGTTGCTTCTTGGAAACCCTATATAGGGTCACTATGAGTCAGAACCAACTTGACTGCACTTCACAGCAACTATTTCTTTACCACCTTCAGTCCAGTATTTAAGACCTATTCTTGTTCCACATGGGTCTACTGCCACCTAGTGGAGCATCAAAAACTACTTTATGGAAAATAATTATGTTTTTTTTTGTAAATAAAATTGTAGGCAGAATTTCCTATGACAGGCGCATAATGTTCCAAGCTGCTGGAGTTCAGGGGTGAATAGGAGCATTCTTGAGTGTGCTGTCTGAGCAGGGAGAGTGGCCAGGCTATGGAACACCCTAGGCCAGACCCATCATGCACACAAAAGAGCCTTCCAACAGCAGGCTCCATATAATGGTACAGAGCAGAACTTCTCTTTCAGTACAAAACACTTCTGTTGCACAACCCAAAACAACTCAGAGTTGTAACAGCCAGTGATAAAAGTAATAGTGAGTAAAATCTTTGGGTGGGTGATTCTGAGATTTCCCGCTCAGTCTCGCATAACAAGTATAGTTTAATGCAACCAGAAACCTGTTTGGAGCCAGACAACCTGCTTTATGAGTCCAACCTCACTTCTTCATAGCTGGTGACGTTGGACAATTTACCTAATCTCTCTAAGTTACGTCAACAGTCAAGTGGAGAGAAAACCAACATTTCTCAATTATCATGAAAACTGAGAAAAATGTGGGCAACTATATCAAAATGGAACTAGTAAGAGATCAATAAATAGGTCCTAATAAGGAGCTCTGGTAGCATAGTGGTTACAAGTGGGATGGCTAACCTCAGGATCAGGAGTTCAAAAGCGGTCCATAGAGAAAGATGAGGCCTTCTGCTCTTGTTATGATGCAAAGCCTCAGAAACCCTATGCAGAGTTGCTATGAGTCGGAACCGACTCCACAGCACATAGCCACCATCACCAATATGGGATCATTTATTGTTTTCTCCTGAAAGTTAAAAATGAACACTAAGAATATATTTATTAGCATATCTTAATGACCTAATGTGAACCATGCTTCTTGTTGTTGTTGTTGTTAAGTGCCGTGGAGTCGGTTCCGACTCTTAGCAACCCTGGAAAGGCTGTAAATCTTTACGGGAGCAGAAAGCCTCATCTTTCTCCCATGGAACCGCTGGTAGTATCAAACTGATGACCTTGAGGTCTGCAGCCCAACTCATAACCATTACAGTACCAGAGCTCTGTGTCTCTCTCTCTCTCTCTCTCTCTCTCTCTCTCTCTCTCTCTATAGAGAGAGAGAGAGAGAGAGAGAGAGAGAGAGACACATATGCATGGAAACCATATACAGGGTCGCTATGGGTTGGAGTCGACTTGATGGCATTTAACAACAACAACATATATATACCTTGCAGTTCACACCAACCTTGTGGTGGGGTGCTTATCCTACAGTGCCACATGTGTGCATACATTTGG